ACAATGCAATAGATATTAGTGTGAAGAAAATCGCTGAAAAAAGTCAGTAGATTTTATCCAGTTTTAGTTGTTCTACTTTTCGATCACCAGTATACAACTGTCAACAGTACAATGGACTAATTCTTGATTTCAATACAGGTTAAGACATTGAAAGTAATTCGAACTGTTGTTTATAAAAACTATTCATGGGTAAGGATTATGTAGTCTCTAAACAAAAATATGCTTAAACAGATATTGTCATATTTATTCCAGCCCAGCTGGTGACAACATGATAATATACGAGGAAAATTGATAGTAAGAATAGAAATATTAAGAAGTGATGGAGGGACTTCGTCGTGAACAAGATGATCTCAAATGCTGTTAGAGGTAAGGGGGACGCTCGTCACTTATTGGTTACCCACATCGTAGAAAGATATTTCTTCTTTAAGGACCTGAAAAAGGAACTGGGTTAATGATGGTATTAGTGACTGCAAAGCCCAAGATACAACTGCTTAAAGCCAGTCACATGAGGAATTTCTATGAGGAGTTTTTGATGTGTCAGTTTCGTACTTTAAAAGGCCTAAACCAGGGACGAAAATCCATGGAGTAATTTGCAAAGTGATATTTTTGGGAAGTAGCATCGCTATCGATCCTTACTGTCTGAGAGAAACACTTTACTGATGTCACACTCGTGTACAATCAGAAGTACGACTTTTTCGCCACTTTTAGTCTTACTGCTCAAAACAGATCTGTTCGGTGTGGAAGGACTTAAAGGAACCACTATTCCAGCCAGTATATTTCGATTGTGTCATCATAACAAGGAAGCCAGACCATTACGTCAAAGTAGCAGCTACGGTTAGAACATTAACTGAAAGCATTATATTATACATAAAACACCATGTTAACTTATGAATATTTTTCAATTTAAAAGTGAGAACTTCATTAATCATTTTTCGAATCTCTCGCAAATCTGTATGATAAGCAAGAGTTGAAAAAATAATGGTAGCACCAACGACGATAGGAACAGAAGCCCAATTTCGTGAAGAAAACATGGAACCGAGAAATCGAAAGCATAAAACAACACTAGAATTCAAGCTGTACGCCATATGAAATTTGAATTGCTAAATAAGATCAAAGCATAGGGGTGAGTCAATCCGATGCATTAGAACAACTTTTCAGTTTTTGCGAGAAATTCAAAAACTAAAATGACTTTTATTTTAAATAATGTATAACCAGTAGCTTAATTACTTTTGTATAATCCTCATAACATTTCAAATTACAATGAAAAGTGATTTTTCTTGTCAACAGAGTAAAAACAACAATAAGATGGTGGTTGGAGTCAGTCAACAGGAAACCCTGGATCCGGGTTTCGTTCTATTTGGCACTTGTCAGCAACGTGTACCTGTAATCTTGAGGGGACTGGTGATCCCTGGTGGAGTCAATCCCATATCACCCAGCTTCACAGTCAGAGACTAGTGATTACATTTAAGCTTGGTGGATAGCATTCGATCTGCACTAAGAACGACCTGATATACATGACAGTGACCACCACCCAATGATCAACCAAGTGTGAATACATCTCAGTCCTACATGAAGTCGGTCGCGGCCAGGATAGCCTAATGGAAACGTCTCTAACTGTGAAGTTGGGTGACACGGAATCAAATCCATCAGGGAGCACCAGTTCCGTCAAGATTACAGGTACACCTTGCTGACGAGTACCAAATAGCACGAAACCCTGGTCCGGGGTTTCCTGTTGACTGCCTCCAACCACCATCTTATCTCAACATAGTGCATGCAATGTCGAGTCACTTAGACTAGCGGCCACATTGCAACTTGATCGATAGCATTCGATCTACACTAAGAACGACCTGACATACATGACATTGATCAACACCCAGTGATCAATCAATTGTGAAAAATAACAATTTAAACGTATCAAATATTCAATTCTTTCTGTATAAACTGCATGTAACATATAAATCATCTCTAGACCTAAACTCTGATCAGAAACAATATAAAGACTTCTGAAAAACTTTTTGTATCCTTACAAAGTTTCAAGACGATAAATGTTTTATAAATATATGAATAAATCTATAAGTTAATATATTTTTTCGATTTACATACGGGGAAAACGCGTAGATCTCAATAGAATAATTATGTAAAATTTTAGAATATTGATGAAGGATGGGGAGAACATTTTCACGATTACTTCAAGAATAGTTAAAACTCGTCTTCCCTACAATATAACTCATACTAGAAAAGTATAAAAATGTTATTTATTGTAATATTGAAAAAAGTTTTAATAACTTACCTATTCAATGATGAATCGATCGAATTAGTCGATATAACACCGGTATTTTCAGAAGGTATGGAGATAGATTTTGATGACTAGAATGTAGATAAAATTAAAGGTGAAGAATTTATATAATTTAGAAAAGAAGATGGAATTTTTATGGTGAAATGAAAAGAATAGTTTAAGGTTCATATTATTTACTAAACATTTAGATAGATAATGACCAACAGTCTTCAGTAGAGAATAATCGTAAGATAGATTTTCGAAGTTCTAGTCACAAAATAAGACAGATGAAATCCAAATAAATCTATAATGGGACATGAATCACTAGTAATGAGAACTACAGAAACCTAACTTGATGATCCTAAAGTAAAATATTCATCCCGAGACTTCAAACTGCTTGATGCTCAAACCTACGTGACATTATGCATGTCCATTGGCTACAGAATCTAAAACTTAGACAAAGCCGCACTATCTAGTGCTCTTTTATTTTAAGATTTAACATCAGCTGAAAACATTTTACGAAAGACGAAGAAATAGTAGACTAGACACATCCTTGTTTTGATCAAAACAAGAATCTCTGTAAATCTTATAGGAAGTACATTTGTTGTGAAGAGAACAATGGATAAAAGATGATAAAATATGGAAGCTACTTTTTGGGATATTAGTTTACTTAGGTTTTGCTCTGTAATTAATAACATTTGATGACTGTCTTATCACATTAATTATAAGCTTTTGTTAAATTTATAAACTACTGTCATATCTTCATCTATTCGATACTTACGGTAATCTGAACACTGGCTTTGTATTCTATTTTCGTAATCTAAGAGCCTTATTTTCAGACATTGTGTTTTAGTTAAATGATTTATATATTTGCTTGTGTACCCTTTGGAATTAGATATATTTTGGGAATCAAGGGTTTTCCACAGATCCCTTCTCTATTTTCTAGCCAACCAATCAGTGTCCGTGTAGTCAGCGAATAGGATAGTTTTCTGCCCTCAGGGTCAAGTCGTCAGACTAAGGTCATGACAAAAATGAACATGCTAAATAGTAAAATTAAAGAAGGCTAAACCGTCATGAATCAGAAGGACAATTTAAAACCTGATAATTAAATGTTCATCGGTTCCAGTTATCACAGTCGTAACATCAGTCTATCAAATTACCGGAGATAGATTGAGAAAAACAACAATAATAATGGTAGCTTATTAATCTTAAAATAAAAGAGACAAATTAATTACTTCCAAATGATGGTCTTTTTTAAGCAAACCACATTCTTCTTCAGCAGCATCGATTAATTGTCGTCTAGCTTGTATACGACGTTGAATTTCAGCTAGCATAGAAGATTTTTGATCAATGGAATCTTTTCTTAATTGCTGCGTAGAATCTGTACGTTTTATTGGGTTGGTTTTGTCATTTTTCGGTTGACTAATTGATGATAATGTCGGTGGCGCTGGAGGTGGTGGTGGTGGCGGGGATTTTGTAGTTGAAATTATCTGACACAAAGAGAAAAATGTATTGAAATATGGCAATCCATAATAATTTGTGTAAACTGTAATGGAAATCAAATCAAAAAGTTGATACTGATTCATGAAACCATTGATTAAGCCACGTAGGGTAGATATAAACAATTAAAGTTGTGGTCAGCGAATAAAGATTTGAGGTGACATGATTCAAAATTAACCATAATCGAGCAGATGGGTAGACTCTTTATATTACCCTAGACCTTGAGTCTCAATACTTCTTCAGATATGGTTTCTAGTTCTGTATCTTTTACAAATGTTTAATTTTCACATTATCATTGCTGCTACATTATTTTGACTGCCTTTAGTATTTATATTTTCAAATTCATCTCATCAAAATGATGTGGTATGAATATATGGGTTAACATAGACAAGTACCAGACTCTAAGTTGATTGCGAATTGACGGATTGTAAACTGCAATCCATACAGAATGTGTGTGTCTACAAAAGTGAATTATGTTTTGCACAATTTAATGTATATCTTTACCCACTCCCCACTATCATTGTAAATATATTTATCAATAAACTTTGGGTGACATTAAATCATAAAGATATTAAGATAATACGAGTTTTGCTTTAAACTTACAAGACAGATTTCAGTCACAGAAAAAATCTAATTCGTCACTATTTAATAGCTGAATTCATGAGTCGATTGAAGCTAGACCATCATGGAAAACCTGGAAGCACTGGATGGCCGTCCCGTCCTAGTATGGGACTCCTCAACATGGCACATCCACGATCCTTTTCGTGGGATTCGAAACCAGGACTTATCAGTCTCGCGCGCAAACGCTTAACCTCTAGACCATTGAGCCGGTATCTAACGGTGTTAATGTCTAACCTCAACTAATCCACAAAACTGAGCGACACATCCACCATTGTCTTCAGTGAGTTACTATCTTACAACAGACCCAGTTGAACTCCATTGGCCGCTGCTTCTAATTTGAACTCCAATGTAGCTTTCATTAACACATGATCTCAACCACTGAAATTGCTATAATATTCACAAAAACCCTTCCGATAATGTGTTTTTTCCCCAAATAACTGTATGAAATATTTTTATAGACAAAATATATAGAACTTTCATTCAGATTAAATAATAATTTACCAACTGGAAATTAGTTATTGTTAGATCTACTTTGTAATTGTAGATTTAATATACACATAATTCTAAGTATGTATTTCACGTTTAATGTAGATGAACAGAATAACTACAAATTTAAACTATGTACTTCTTAGATCCTACACATATTATAAACTATAAAAGAGTAGGCTTAATTCCATAGTTCACAAATATTGTGACAATCATGAATTCTGATATGTTCAAAATTTAGAATGGATAAGTTTCTTTCGTAAAAATTTAATCCATTTAAGTATACAGAATCTACAGTAATAGCATACTATTTAGGATAAAGTTTCTTTATACTATTTGATAAGGAGATTACAATTGAAATCTGAGTAGTCAGTTAGTTAGCTATCAGCGAAATAGAACCTAGGATATATATGTTTTGGTTCAAACTGTCACATTACATCGGCACGGAATGAGATCACTAAGATAAACGCGAAGATGACCTTGGTCATGAAATGATATCACCTGAAGAACTATTAAAAACAGTAGGTGTACCATAAAGATGTTTCACTCCAATTTGAAACTTTTCGGGAATTAAAAACCCATGACCTCTCTGGCAACCTAACACTGAATTCTAGGGTCTTGCAGAAAGCATATCACTCTTGATAGTTGCTACAGTGTGAAAATACAACTTTCGGAATTATTTTATCAAGGATTAATGTCTGTGCTTTTATTGTGTAATTATAAGACACTTGGATTACTATACAATAATATCATTTTAGTTGAAAGCTTTCGTTTGGCGCATAAACTATTGATCTGTGTCTTACTTTTCATAAGTTAGTGTAAATTGATGATGGGCTTATTACTTAGTTTTCTTTCACATACAGTGTAGTTATTTCCATGTATAGTAATTTCTCATTTATTTCGCTGTGAGGTCAGAAAAATAAACTGTATTACCACATTAGTTTGAGTTGTGAGTTTTACCATACAACAGAAGTTATCTGTCTGCTGTGTTATTGTTCTATTATGATAATTGGGCAACAGAATGTGGAAAAATAAATCTTGAGAAGAAATAGATGTCACAATTTATTTTGACCTTAACTCATAAATGAACTTCCCAATAGAAGCGTATCACTGGTTAAGTCTGGGATGCTAGGGTATAACCAAAATAGTGCATACGTAGTAGAGAAATATTATAAGATCTTAATTGGTGAAACTTATCAAACGATATCAATGAATATGATTTACAGTCATCACAACATTGATATTGACAGGCATCGAAATTCCTGTAATAGATTGACATAATTCTAACACTATAAAATAAACGACAATAATCATTCTCTAAATAGGCATTAAATGTATACACGACGTTACGAAACATAAGTTTTGAGCACACATACGTAAGTTGACTTAGTTTATCACTTAAAGTACAATATGAAGATGAATTAATTAGAATCGAGAAAGCGACTTTTCAGATTTTGAATAAAATTCAAAATAATACCCATAACAATAAGCAACAATATCTCTGTATACTACTCAAAATGTTCAAAATTATAATGAAAAATTACCGAAAACCACCATAAAGTAAAAATCATCGTGTTAAATGTATCAAGTGTTTTATTCTATTTCTGTACATTTTATATAACAGGCAAATCAATACTATCCTTACATCTTATCCCTGATTCGTAATCTTAACCTAGTGGTAATATAACTCACAAACAAGAAAGTTAGATAATACCTTTTGGATATTTGAAGTAAATGCCTTCATCAATTTGAATACAGAGAATTTTTGCATTTCAGCAGATGTCAATTTGTGATAAAAGCCCTACTACTAGGGTCTTTTTTAGGGGTTAGGTAAAACATATAATCAATATTCATAAGGAAGACTTTTCTTATCATTGTTTTTCAATATACAGCCAGATCAAACAGTAGAAGACTTATATAAATGTAAATCTGTCTACACGATGTGACATTACTGTTTGCTTTTTCACTAACTATCCATTTATAAAAGATGATTTCTGATTGGTTGAGAACTGATCAAAAGTTCGTCACAGTTGATTTAATCTCGTTCCTATACCGTACTACTATACGATAGGAATATGAATTGTTTATCAGCTTCTGTGGTTTCCGTAGCAAAAGTATACACCTATAAAAAATTATGATTGAATACATCAAATTAATCAATTTGATCATATATTTTAATTGATAATAGTTACCGGATTATTGCAAGAAGTTGAATTAATACTTGGTCTTATTGAAGCATTACATCGATTTTCTTTATTACGTTTACGTGCAGCAATAGCTTCTTGTAGCATAGCAGCTAATCCAGATGATTCTGACTGTTTAGCTAACTCTTCGTCATTATTCTGATCATTATTATTACTACCCGGTACTGATGTTGTTAAAACTGACGATGAATTTGAACTGTTTGTGCTAACAGCAACACTTGAATGATTAACAATTTCACGAGAAACTGTCAAAAATAGAAAAAAAAAGAGAAAACACGAAACGTTATTTTGTACAAGTGAAAACAAAAATTACGATGTGTTAAATTTATAAAAAGAAAACGACAATGTTAAGTAATAAGTACCATTTTCATTGTAGATTCTACATAGTGTTATACTGTTAAGTTAGTATTTTAAATGTTTTGGAAATTCTTATTACAATTATTGAGAAATATAATGAATGAATAATTAGTGTGAAACATAAATTTTCAGATGTTTTTAATGACTAACACTTGATTGACAATGTTCCATAAGTTTGTGGAAGTTTTAATTCATTTTTGTATTCGTTATTTGAATCTTCCAATTGATCAATCTCTTATTGGTAAATGTCTATTCTGTGAGAATTACCTCGATATTCCACTGTTAGCCACCACCACCACCATCTCTGCTCATAACGTTTATGACTAAAGGCAATATCGAGGCAATCCGTACAGAATGTACGTATGACAGTAAGAGACTGAATAATTGAAGTCTTAAACATCAAATGGAAGATTCAAACAACCAACACAAAAATCAATATGATAAGTGTTCAAATGTGAACTTCTTTATCTTTTCTTGTTATGTCTGCATTCAGTCAGTCATTCAACTACAACGTAGGACCAGGCACATATGTGCATCGGTCCAAGTTGCCACACCTCATTAGCACAACAAGATGAACACCGAATTCATAGAAGTAGTTAATTCAATGGTGGTAATACATAAAAGAATGATTGTATATAAGAATATAGCACAGGAAAAAAGAATTGGTTGATAGAAAGATATAAAGTAATTTTAATCTCATAGTTTAGAGGAAGACAGAAATTGTACACAGCTACGCCATTTTGATCGATTCTGAGCCATGTCACCCAGAGTCTCTAACTGTGGTGTGGGTTACTTTTATCCATATAAGTAGTATATAACGATGGTCAGGCATAGAATGTATTTCAGTAGAAGATCGATAAGGAAAGAACGTGAACGGAACGCAATTGGTGTGAAAATGAATGAACAATGAAATCTGAGACTATGGACTGATATTTGCAAAAAGAAGAGTCAAGTTTGAGATGATGGATTGATATTTTGTAAACTAACTATTTACTATATGGTTCTCAGATTTTAGTGAGATGCTCTGTAATTTCGTGTCATATACATTCGATTGTCCCCACTCGTGTTCTTGTTCACTACACAACCATTAATAACGATAATCGTCGTTGCATTATTATTAATTCGAAATATATTCAGTTACTACAAATTCATATAAAGTAGAACTATACAGAAAACTAAATAAGTTACTCAATAGTCGTCTATGTACAAGATGTTTACTTACTAGATTAGTGGCAACACAGAAATCTACACAAATTGTGACCATCTAGTATCGGTTATGTAAAGCAAAACTGTCTATTCAGTTTAGATTTCTTTAATTTCGATAGTAGTATACACAATGAATGCTCTTGCATTAATAATTTTATAATTTGTTCCATTTATTAGCTTTCTACCGACTGGATCATGAAGACGTCAACATCTAAAAGGAAGCACGGGATACAGTGGACAGATAGGATGCAGCTGGACGACCTAGACTTCGCAGATGATCTGGCCCTCCTATCGCAAATGCAACAACAAGTGCAGAAGACGACCAGTGTAGCAGCAGTCTCAGCAGAAGTAGGTTTCAATATACACAAAGGGAAAAGCATGATTATCCGACACAACACAGCATGCATCAATCCAATCACAATTGACGGAGATTTGGAAGATGTAAAAACCTTTACATATTTAGGCAGCATCATTGATGAGCACGGTGGGTCTGATGCCGATGTGCAGGCGCGAATCGGCAAAACGAGAGAGGCATATCTGCAATTAAAGAACATCTGGAACTCAAAACAACTGTCTGTTAACCAACACCGAGGTCAGAATTGTCAATACAAGTGTCAAGACAGTTCTACTGTATGGGGAAGAAACTCGGAGAACTATGAAAGCCATCATCCAGAAAATACAAGTGTTTATTAACAGTTGTCAACGTAAAATGCTTCGGATCCGTTAGTCAGACACTATCAGCAACAACCTACTATGAGAGAGAACAAACCAGAACAAATCAACTGAGGAAGAAATCAGGAAGAAGCGCTGTGAGTGGATAGGACACACATTGAGGAAAGCACCCAACTGTGTCACAAGACAAGCCCTAACATGGAATCCTCAAGGCCAAAGGAAAAGAGGAAGACCAAAGAACACATTACGCCGGGAAATGGTGATAGACATGAGAAAAATGAACAAGAATTGGATGGAACTAGAAAAGAAGGCCCAGGATAGAGTGGGTTGGAGAATGCTGGTCAGCGGCCTATGCTCCATTGGGAGTAACAGGCGTAAGTAAGTATTAGTTTTCTGATAACGTCTCTGTTTTTAAAGCACTGTTTATATGCTTTAGCCTATTACATTATTTTATTTCTACATTGATTAAAAGAGTTTCGTATGCACAGAGTACTTATGAAACATGAATACTGAATAATAATAAGCAAGTTTCTTCACTTGATTATTTGCTGAACTAACATAGAAACTAAATAAACGATTTCCAAGTTAATATTTATATAGTAATGAAAATCGACTCATTTTAAATGATATTTTCATTAATTTACATAGATTAAAACTTAATACATTAGATATTCAAATCATTAATCAAAGATTTTAGTGGTTTTATTATTTAACACTGACCTTGAGAATTCAAACCTGACCAGTTACTACTGATAGACTCTCCAGTTAAAGATGGATTCCTCAAATTTTGATTACTAAGACGATGCATTGTGCTCAAATAATTACCATTAATTGGACCATTACCAACACTACTTCCACTGCTACTAGTACTTGCATAACTCGCTAAACTTCCTGAACCTACATATCCATAACCATAACCGTAGCTAGTAGATGATGAAGAGGCGGATGAAGGAGTTGCAATTGTTCCAGGACCTGTAGCATAACCTAAACTGATTGATGATGTAGAAGATAGTTGACGACGATGTGTTTCAAATGCACCAGGATCTTTACTACCACTACTATTATTATTAGTCAGAGTAGTAGCAGTTATCAATTTATTTATTTGATTAGATTGATTAACATGATCTTGATATTCATAATTTGCCAATTCATTGGGTTCCGGTTGTTTTCTGAAATAAGTCAGAAAAAAAACTTTTAGCATATTCAAGGCTGCAAGGTAAAGAATTAAAAGTCAATACAGTAGAGAAAATAAAAGTACCTGTGGATTGTTATAACCAGAAGTGGATGGTGGCTAGCAATAAAATTCAAGACGCGAGTTTTGTCCTATTTGGGACTCGTCAGCTGGATATACCTGCAGTCCAGAGTTGATCTTCATTCTTTGACTATAGGTAAGATAAGGAAGCATTTTTCCAAAATAGAAGCGTCTCATACTAAGGTGAAATAGCTATTTACTGTTCACTAGTTCATTATAATACCATGAACGATATCAATCCATGGTGGTGGAGAGAAAATAATTTACACATAAAACTAGTAGTTGAAAATCCTACTATGTACACGATATCACGATTAAAAAAACAGTTGGACTAAAACAAACGTATACACACATACTATGCATAAAGGGTTATAAAAAAGCCATCAGATTAAAGTCTGAAAAACATGGAATCAGTTATAATTAACCTAGATCCTAAAATGAGCATTTCCTAGTTGAAGTTTTCGCATCAGATCAATACGAGATGAAATCAATAACATGTATCGAAAAGAAGTCTAAATAATAGTAGTACTAATAATAGTGAGAAAGACTAAACATTGAAGAATATAATTTGAAGTTAAGTTACAAATAACAGAATCCGAAGACATAGGGGGGGGGGAGATAGGGTGAATGCAAATGATTCTAAGCCGTGTCCTTAGAGACTTCAGCCCACAAACCATACGAAACCAAACCACGTCCTCTGCAATTATCAACATAGCTCAGTCCAGTATTTAATACTTTCATAAGCTTATGTAGTGTTTTGTTTTAACCTCATTGGGTTTTCATCTAACCTCCTTCTACTAGTTTCTTATGAATTTAATTGATACAATTACCTTGAGGACCATACCAGAACTGAAGTGGCAAAAAAGGTGATAACAATCCCAATAGGAAAGGATTTTTATCGAATATTAAGATAAGAATAAGCTGATAATGTCTGTGATTATATGATAACAGTCTATGGAACAATAATCAAATGAAGTTCGAAACTGTGATTATAACTTGACAATGTTAAACCATCTTTAAATGAACAAAGTTTTCACAAACTACAAGCCAATCATTATTAATGACCAACTTTGAGATGGATCTCCTAATAATTCATGAACTATGAAACTAACCAGGTTGATCGTGAGATACTTATCTAGACGATGAAATCAGATGACGATCAGTTTACAGTACGAACTGAATAAAACTTATGGATGAAATCTTATTGGATTCCAGTTGTTCAAATATGTCTTTTTCACCGCAGGACCTGATGGTGGAACTTTGATCTCGTATATATATATATATATATATATATATATATATATATAGCGAGACTATAATTTATGGACGAACCACTCAGATTTAGGATAGCAGGTCTTGGATTTTGAAACGAAATTCATTAACCCATTTGGCCAAATGGCGTCTTGAAATTTTAGCTGTTAGTTCGTTATGAAAAACCGTAAATCTAATTCCTAACCTTAAACATCAACTGTGAATCATAATCCTTATTCTTCAAACTACTTTATAACCCTCGTTTAACTCCAATAAGTAGGTAGACACTCTCAAGGTCACTTTGGTGTCTCTTGAATGTCGTCCATAAATTATAGTCTCACCATATATAGTTTTAAACTGATGCAAATTGTTATCCAGTGCTCTTTAATTGATAATCTAACCTTCCAGCTAATTCCAGTTCGAGAAAAAAATACATATATGCAATGGATCTGTTTGTTATGTTTGTTGACTTTGCCATTTAGAAAGAAGCATACACATAAAACAGATAGAATATAAATGTATATTTTCTTTCAATCGAGTATGAACATGTATTATATCCAGTGAAGAAAAAAATTAGCGCACAGTTCTAATAGACAATTCGTTAGTAATCAATATAGAATTGTTTACTCTTAATAATGTAATTAAGCTAGCATGTATAATATAACTCATACTAAATGAATTAAGTAGGTGGAAGGACAGTGTAAACAGTGAACATATTAACAACATAAATCTCAATATATTAAACAAACCAATTCAGTAATCTATGTACAGATTCATAAAGTATGAACATTCAGTTACATTTTGTCAACTGAGAGTTGCTACTGTACCAATCTAATTGTTCCTAATAACATACAGTATGAATATGTAACTCTAATGGAATAAAATTCTAAATGTAACAACTATTAGGCTATCGCTTTATATAAAATAAATAAGTTATATGTTCAATAAATATGGAAAGGATTATCTTACAAAGTTTATGGTAAGAGGATTTTTTATCTTTTTCATCTACAAAAAACTCTTAGCTTATAACATTACACTTACCCTGTTTCAGTTTACATTATGAAAAAAAGAAACCCCCTACAAGTCAACGGCAGTTAGACTTTACCTAACAACACTAAATATTTCTCTAGAATTGTAAATACAGACGATTTTCTAGAATTTTTGTCATTACTAATCATTTAGATAGTGAATCGATGATTGGAAAATATATCGAACAGCACACATTCGATGTTTTTTATCAATATAGGATATCATGCATTTTTCTAACCATAATTTAACTATGCAGTCTTAACCGCTCATACTGAAAATACTCGGTACAATTTCGTGTATTCTGTTACCTGCATAAACAGCCATTAACATTTCATGAACTTTCAGTCAATTTTTTAACAAAAACTAATAAATTAGTTCATGTAATTATTAAACTACTTTTTACTTTACTTACTTACGCCTGTTACTCTTAATTGAGCATAGACCGCCGACTGGCATTCTCCAACCCACTCTGTCCTGGGAATTATTAAACTAACGATCTAAGATCTCACATAATGTTTTTTGCTTTAAACAAACATAAAAAGTATAGAAGTTGAAGAAGCTGAGAACTGCGAAGAAACGAATACACTTACACTGCTGCAAACGATTACGCAACTTAAAGTATGTAACTATATGTTATAAATTTCTTATACACTAACTACAACACTTACAGTTTATCTTGTAATTAACACTAATAGTCAGGAATCTTATTATTAAATGCTGTATAAAGATTTTATACGTATTAGATCTAAATTTCGTGTAATTTCGACACTTACAAATAAAAAAACTACCTAATATCATGACAGAACTAACGTTATCCAAAGTATCCAGACTTGCATCACTTGTAATACAATCAAAGATGTTAAAAATCAGGTTATTCAGATGCGACTGCCCTCCAATAAAGATTGAGATATTTACATCAAGGATTAAAAACTGGTTATCATTAAGTTTATGCCACGACAAATGTGGACGGATGAAGAAAATTAAATCGTTGGTCAATTTTTACCTATTCCAGTGTTTGTTTTTTTTCTTTTTAGAATAGTAAAATTATGCATAATTTATCTTTTGTATTAGAAGAAGACTCATAAGAAGTTACCAGTTGATCTTATTTTCATTACAAACAATATATTAACTAGTTCGCTAAACAGTAGTCGATATTAGGCTATGATCAAAATCTGTTAATTATGTTCGCAACGTTAAGCTAAGTGTAATAACGTCTGTTTTAACATGGATTAAGTAAATAGAATAAATATGTACAAATACAATAGTAATAATCACGGATTAAAAAAAAAACACGACTAAGTGACCAAGAAGATAGTCATTTACAACGACAATATACAATGTTCGTATATAAGAGTATATAAATTAGGGGAAGGTTTCTAACATACTACAACAACAGTTTGTTTCCTGATGTGTGTGTGGAGGGGTTCTACTGAAACATTAATTGCATTATTAATCTTATACATTGGTGACAAACAAACTAATTAGGATTATAATTAATAAATTGTGTCAGTGATGAAATGCAACTCACTAAATCTAAGCTTAAGAGGTGAACACAATCCTTAACATAAAAAAATCTTTATAGAACACCTATGATAATAGTAATAAGAATAATCCACTAATCATAGTCGGTCAGCATCTAGATGAACTTCCTGAAGTTCTGAGAAGAATCTACAGACATTCAAAAATCAACTACGTTGAAAAAAGAAACTTAACTCTTAAATCACTCATCCAAAGGTTATGCATTATCTCTATGAAGACTGAAAGCTATCAGATTGGTAATAAACTGAAAATGAAGAATCAATGTGAAATTTCAATATGATTCCTTACATGAAAGAATTAATAAGTATTGAATTTTCTCTCATCTGTCCGATTAGCAGTTATCTTCGTTGCTAAGATAACTAAATGTTACTAAGGAGTTATATTTTATCTTGTAGAGTTTACAAGTTAAATATTCAAAATTCATTCAACTGTCTAGTTCTCAAAAACATCATAAAAACCGATGATTTAATTGGTTGAAATCCATTTACTTAGTTTCATACAGTTATCAATCTTGTGTTTATATATCCAGCATCCAAACATTTCGTCAATTATGTAGGCTACAACATTGACTACCAAGAATCAAGAAAGTTGAGAGTGTTTGTGTGTGCAGGACTTTGAGATTTACATGTACTGTGTGTAACTAAATACGACAATGTAGGGCTCTATACAAAAGATATGACCTACAGCTTGATAATAGTTTATAATCATCTATGCGGTAAAGGAAAATTGATCATTATTAGCTGTTACTTTTAAAATAACACCTTAGCAAAATACGCGTTTATGCACTCGAAGATTCGCTAGGTTTGAAGCTATCACGAGTTAACTTATTCGGCGAACGAGAACAAGACTCGGTGACCAAAGACCAGTAAGCTAGCTATTGATGCGTCCCAGCCCCGCTAACTAGAGGGAGAAGTTCAAGCTTGGTATGGGAAGTATATTCTGCGAAACAGCCAGAAATGAACGATAACAACAAACATAATTCAAAACGTATATATGCAGTGCAAAACCGTCCTTGGGGAGAATTACCAAATAGCATACTAAAAGACGCAACGGACCAATAGCATTTAAGATATTTCCCAGTGGGAAACACGACATGGA